TTATCTTTACCCATTCATCTGTTGAAGGACACCTAGGTCAGTTAAAGTATTTCTAATAGTGTCTAGGTAATTTTCATGATGCTACTCTTTTCCCATAGGTAAAATTATTGATATCAGTTATTAAAGATATCCTTTGCCAAGTTAAAGAATTTTGCTTACTGAGAATTTTATAGACCATTATTATCAAGGAGTTATTGCCTTGAATTTACAGTATCCATTAAGATGATCCTGTTTTATCTTCTTTAAATAGTCAATGAAATTTTATTTAATAACACTTATAGATTGCTTATTTTGTGTCAGATACTAACCTCAGAGATTTTACGTGTATTACCTTATGAATTCTTCTTACCACTCAGTAAGGTAGGTTCTATAACTATTTCTATTTAGGATATGAAGGAACTAAGACACAAGAGTTGTATATAAATCTAAAGCCAGGTTTGAATACAGATTTGAAATTGGATTTCATATTCTTGGAACCATTCTTAGATCACGCTAATATATTAAACATTTTCACCGAAATTTTCTTTAGGAATTTTTATTAGATCAATCTAGAAGTCTCTTTTTTGTACTATTTTTGTTGAGTTCTGAAAAAGGATTGTGTAAACTTTATACAAGAAATTAGAAATTTTTCTGAGATTGCATCCCAAAGGTAGCCCTCATTGACCCTCATCTCCTGGTATTTACAACCTTCATAATCCTTCCCATATTATGACAGAACTGGTTTATAAATATACAAACAAATAGTAAAGGGCAAAAGTGATAATACATCATTTCCAAACTTAGATCAATGACAACAACAACAAAGAGTGTAACTTCTATATTGTACCCTCTTTCTGTCAAATCATTCAACGTATTCTGGAGAATCCAGATGCCATGTCTTAAAGTGACTCTAGTAGTCTTGTGAAGAGGTGTACGAAGAGGAAAACTTAAAACCCCTCATACTTCGCTGGAAGGAACTGACTGCTGTCAACTACTATAAGAGAAAGTTTATAAGTGGATGCTCCAGTCTCCACTGATAATAACACCAACCAACAACTGGCCTGTAACCTCCTTGAGAGATCCTGAACTGAACAACCTAGTTAACACACTTTCCGATTCTTCATCCTTAGAAAATGTGAGAGATAATAAATGTGTATTGTTTTAAGCTACCAAGTTCTGGGGCAATTTTTTATGCATAAATAGTACACTTTACAATATCAATATTTCAATATCAAAAGAATCAATAACCAATAAGAAAATCTAGTGCTTTGGGGAAGGCATTTATTTAACTAACTTTTACATTATTTACTAGGAAAATTAATTTAGAATTTTTTAAACCTCTTTCTTGGACAAAATTTAAAAATCCAGAAAAGAAAAAAAAAGAAGACAAAACCTTGGGCATTTTCCAAAAACATCAATTTCTTCTGAATTTCAAAAATCCCAATATATAATTTAAAACTTTCTTTTATACCTATAAGTATATTACCTTCTAATTTTTGATATTATGTTTTATCCATTTTTAAAAATTCATTTTTCAACTTACAAGTGGTTCACCTATTCCCTCTCTCCCCAACATGGAAACAATTAATAATGAATCTATGTAGGATACTGATTTTAAAGATTTGGATCTTATTTAATTAGTATTATTATTTTAAGAAGGTCTCCTTATGTTGCCCAGGCTGGCCTTGAACTACCAATCCTCGTATTTCATCCTGATGAATAGCTAAAATTATAGGAGTGTGCCATAATTCAGTTTTAATTAATTTTTCATATCATTATTGTTCTATCTTCTATTTAATTTTATTATCCATGTCCCATTGATATTGATTATGAAATAATCTTTATTATCTTTTTTATAACATCTTCAATGAAAGTTTGATTTTTTGTTTACAGCAGGTACTATTTAAATTTTATACAATTTTGTATTTTTAAAATAGTTTTACTTTAATCAACTTTAGGTTATTTTGAAAGTGGTTAGAAAATATAGATTCTAGGACTATAATTTTGTGAATATTATAATTAATGTTGCTACCTATACACAAATTAATTATACTTGAATTTTAAAATAATGCTTACTTTCTTGTTATTCAGTAAAAAATTTCCTCTTGTAATTTCTATTTAAATCTCTTTAATCATCACTCATTTTTGTTTCCAAAACTAATTAATTTCTAAAATAAGTAATATCCTACCTTGTGAAAAACTTTCCTCATTTGGATATACCTTAATATTTGAGTAGAATATATTTACACCAACAGCTGTCTTCCATCTTTCACCTGTTCTAAATGTATACAGGATTGTGTGTTTATGCATATTAAACAGACCTTAAGAAAAAATCAGATTTGGGAAAATATTTGAGCAGTAATTTATTTTATAACTACTTTATAAAGATGTAAAGTCATATGATTAATAATACTTTTTTTGGCTTTTTGACATCTATAACCTTTACATATAAATCATCTACAATTTCTGCATTATCTTTAAAAAGAACCTTTCTGACCTCTTTCTGCTGAAATAACCAAAGATTTACATAAAATATGACTAGAAAATTAGCAAGAGATCTTTAAATTATTATAATTTGGACAATGTTTGAAACTTAAATAGAAATTTTTTTTATGAAGCAGTAATATTTTAAAAAATTCTCAATCATTACTTTCATGCATATTAAGTTCTTAATTAAATTACCACTCCAAAAATTGCTTTACTATCTTCTTGTACAAAAGTTAACTTACGTATATCTTGAAAATAAAATAAATACCTTCAGATTATATTTATGAGCTTTATCCAAAATAGTTGGTACCAAGTTATCAGTAGCTTCTCCATTCTCATCACTTGAATCAGGTGGGTACCAAGATAGAGCTAGTACACCTAATAGAAAAAAAGGAGGAGGGGGAAAAAAAAAAAAAAAACAGGAAACAAGATGATTGCAAGTAGTCTAAAAAAGGCAGAATAAGTTTCTAATAGTTAACAGTATGAAAGGATAGTTAACAATAAAAAAGAAACATATTCAAAAGAGCTTATTACTTTCTTTAGGCTACATAATATGTTAGTTTGTTTAGCCAATATTTATGAACTCTTTATCAACAAATTCTTTTTAATATCAATGTTTTTAATTAATACACTTCTGTTTTCAGAATAAGTTTAAGGTTTACAGGAAAATAAAACAAAAAGTACAAAGTGCTCATATATACCTGCTACCAGCCTCCAATATCCCCTCCCCAGTTTTCCTACTTAGCATCTTACATTATTGTGATACATTTGTAATAACTAATAAACTAATACTGACACATTATTTTTAACAAAACACCATAGTTTACATTAGGATTCACTGTTTGTACAATTCTACGCATCTTGACAAATGTATAATGTCACATGCTCACCATTATAGTATCAGACAAATTAATTTTACTATAAATCTCCTGTACTCTGCCTATTTATTCCTCCTCCATCTTCCTTTCACTCAGGGCAATAATTGAACTTTTAACACTGTCTATAATTTTGCCTTTTCTACAATGTCATATAGTTGAAATCATAAAATATGTAGCTTTCCCCAAATGGCTTCATTCACTTAGCAATTTGCATTTTAGTTTTCTTCATGTCTTTTCATGGCTTGAAAGACATGAAAAGTTCATTTCCTTTTACTACTGCATAATATCCATCAAATGGATGTTTATCCATTTACCTATTGAAGGGCATCTTGGTTGCTTCCAATTCTGGGCAATTATGAATACAGCTTCTATAAACATTCACATGCTAGGTTTTGTGTTTATATTATCTGTTAACAGCAGATTTTAAAAAAAAAGAAAAATAATTATAATTTCTCCCTGTAGTACCTGATTCATTTTGCACTGATAAATTACAAACTGTTAGAAATATCAGTTTGCACAGAAATCACTAAGTATAGAGGGAATATTTAAGATCAACTTATCCAAAGCTTCACATATAAAGTAATGTGAGGCTATTAGAAAGATGACACTGATTATTTAATCAATCAATAGACTTTTTAATACAGGGAGTCAAAAGTAATAGTAGTAAAAGAGAAGTTTGTGGAAATTAGGAAATGAATGTTTAGAAAATATGAGAAAGCTAAATTTAAAGATTTGAATTACAGTATAAGTACTATGTAAAAAAGAAGTTCCATTAGAGGAACAGAATAGTATTTTCTTCAATGTTGACCAAAAAAAAAAAAAGTCTATGTCTTCTGTCCTTTCTGAAACTACAAATAGCAAGAACATGAAAGACAGAAAAGGGAACCTAAAACATATGGTATTGCAGGAAAGCTCTGACTAGCCAAAGAGGGAATCACAATCTAGAAAAGGATGTTTGTGAGAAAAATGTAGGGAAAAACTGTTCAAATATTTGAGCTGCCTACTAGCCCCATTAGTAATACCATCAATAAAGAGTGACAGTAAAAAACTTCCAACATGTGGCCTATTAAAAAAAATTTACAAAAGAAGATAAAAAGTGAAAAAGAACATGAAAAAAAATAATGAAGATCACACAATAGAAAGATTATGCCACAAAGCATGTTAAAATTATGAGCAAAGCATTCTTCCATAAAATTAAAAATTAAACAAGGTTCCTGTTTCTAATGACAGTGGAATAATTTCTAAAAATGGTGTAAAAGTAAACCAATACTCCCATGAAAACAACCAAAATTACTAGGTAAAACATGAGTAACAATAATTTCTTAAAGCCGAGAAACTGAAGGAAGAACTACCTAGGCAAACTGAAGGGTGAATGGAAAGCCAGGGAGGTAAATTAGCAAGGAGGCCAGTTTGTCCCAAGCACAGATAACAGAAGCAAACTGGTTCTCAAAGTCAGGGGAATTACATTCCAGGTTCACAATGCTTATGTAGTTCTATATCTTTAAACTCAAATTAAGATGAGTCATGACTTGGTATTCTCAATAATTGCCAGGCAAAAACAAAAAGTAAATTTTCTCAGGAGGAAGGGATCTTCCCCCAGAGTTTCAAACTACTGTGAAAAGTATTTTTTTAAAGAATAAAAAATAGTAATGCATTAACAAATAATAAAGAGCACAAGGAAATAAAGCATCAAATATAAGAATCAACAAAAACCAAAAGTCAATAGAAATTAACATGAAAAACTTAAGATATCAGCATTACAGATATTTAAAACAACTATCTTCATAGTTTAAAAGATAAAAATTCACTTCGAAAATTTCAAAATATTGTCATATGTCCTTCAGACAGTGTGGTGGGCTTTGAAGATATATTTAAATATCTCACTTTCAGTTACATGAGCAAATGATACATTAACCTTTCTTGTTTCTGTGGCTTTATCACCAAACACATAATTTTTACTCACAAAGGTATATTTTAAATATGAACATAAAATTCCAATTTCTAGTACACTGTTCAATAAATTTTGGTTCCTTTTCCTATCATGCTGTTATTTCTCACTTTGATCCCTCACTCCAACCTCAGTGCGCCTTCTACCACATAGGATAGTTTTGTATCTTAATACAATAGTCTCCAAATTATTTCTGTACTTTTTCCTCATCTTCATTACACTCTAGTCTCAAGCTGTCCAACTTGATACACACCTCTCAAACAACTTAAAATTTTAAAAATATGTTGTTCACTTAACTAACCACATTTCCAGTGCCCACTAGCCACATATGGTCAGTAATATCTACTGTAATAGATAGTACTTATATACAACATTTTCATCATCACAGAAAGTTCTATTGGATAGAACTACCAAACAATTCTGGTTATACTACAACATGCTAACCACTTCAACCCTAGCTAGTGACTTCTCTTCCTCTCACATTCTCTCTACTTGTATAATCCATGGCTTGGGAAGAATTTTTTTTTTTCTCTTTTACTGTTACTATGTTTCAGATTCTCTATTGCATTGATTATGGATTAAATATATCAATATATTCAATATATCTAATTCTATCTTCATACTGTGCTTCACAATTCAATTTATGTTTGTACAGTCTGGTTCTTAACAAATATGAATACAAAAGGGTTGGGAACCAAACCATTTATGGTCCAATTACAGAAGAGGATTAGAAAATTTACAATGATAATGACTCCACGATAGTAACTTCTACAGTAAGCCAACTGAGCAAAAAATAAAGCTCAGTGGTGGAGTACTTGCCTAGCACATGTGAGGCCCTAGTGACATAAAAAGGAAAAAAAAAAAACTGTCTAACTAAAAGAAGCCAACTGAATATCTGTATTATTTATACATACAATTTATTACACTCTATCATTCCAACTGCTTATTCAACTAGGAAATTATTTGAAATTGATTCTAGGAATATTAACATACAAGATAGAAAAACCCATGTCATATTCATGCCATCCCTTCAAAGCAATTATCATATAACCTTTAATATAACTCATATGCAGTGATTTTTAAAGTTAAATGATGCCTCTAAGTGGAGTAATAGTTAATAATATATTATAAAATCAGATAGACCTAGAGAATCAAGTACTAATTTTCTCACTGGATAGACTTGTATTTGTAGATCATTTTACTTAAATTACTTACATTCTACTTAAATTACTTAATTTCACACCTATAAAATTTGCAAATTTTTTTTGAAAATAGCAAGAGAAAATTAATAAGTCCCTTATAATAGAATCACCATTAAACTAAAAGCAGACTTTATAGTAGAAATCTTATAGGTCAAAGAGAATAGTATGATATATCCAAACTTCTGGGGCAGGGGAAGCTAATTAAGAATACTACACTCACCAAAACTTTCCTTCAGAAGTAAGGAAAAAATTAAGATTTTCTAAGACAAGAAGAAGTCAAGCTAATTTATCAGCCCCAGAGTGGTTCTACAACTGCTTAAGGGAGTCCTATATTAGAAACAAAAAGACAACAAGTACCATAAGAAATGCATTAACAAGTACAAAATGCAAGAAAAGAACATAAATGAAAAAGAAAGAAGAAAATTGAGCCCTATCAATGCCAAAAAACCTAGCAAAAACAAAAAAACAAATTAAAAAAATCCCAAAACCAAATCACAAAAATGAAAAAGGACAAAAGGAAGACGATATACAAAAGAATAGAAAAAAAAATAGAATGGCAGGAGTGTATCTTTACTTACATTAAAAACCTTAAATGTAAGTGGAATAAATTCCCCAATTAAAAGTTACAAACATACTGAATAGATTAAAAGCAAACAAACAACAAACCAGACTGTACATGTGCTGCCTACAAGAAACTCACTTAAATAGTAAAGACATACATAGATTGAAAGTGAAGGAATGAAAAAAGGTAAACCGTGAAAACCAAAAGTGAGGGGCTGGGATGTGGCTCAAGCGGTAGCGCGCTCGCCTGGCATGAGCGGGGTGTGGGGTTCGATCCTCAGCACCACATAAAAATAAAATAAAGATGTTGTGTCCACCAAAACCTAAAAAATAAATATTAAAAAATTCTCTCTCTCTCTCTCTCTCTCTCTAAAAAAAAAAAAAAGTGAGCAAGAATAGCTGTACTTACATCAAATAAAACAGATTTCAAATCAAAAACTTTAAAAATAAACGAGGAAGGCCACTGTATAGTGATAAAAGGATCAATTCAGCATAGGAAACAACCATAAATATATATGCAGCTAACAATGAAGGACCCAATTATATAAAGCAAAGTTATTAGATCTAAACAATGAAATTCTAATAAAATAAGAGCAGGGTCTTCAAAACCTCACTTCTGTCAATGGATAGATCTTGCACACAGACACACACACAGACACACACACAGAACATCTGCAGGTTAACTAACCTGTGGACTAAATGGACTCAATGGGCATTTACAAATATTTCACCCAACAGCTACAAAATATGCATTCTCCACATCAGCACATGAACATTTTCTTCATGGAC